GTTCATACTTTGCAAGTTGAAAACTAAGAAAAGTATTAAAACGCAATTCCTACTAGAAGACTGCCTTTGAAGTGAGATCATGGGGCCACAGACTGCTTGAGGTCTGAAAAGGCCTCTGGGAGGGTATGTGGTCTAAACACCCTAGTCAGGAAGGCTCACCTAGAGCTGGTTGCCTAGGACCACTGTTGAGGCTTTTGAATGTCTCCAGGGACGGAGACTCCACAATCTCCCTGGGGACCCCATGCCAGTGCTCGGTCACCCTCACTCTGAAAAACTGTTTCCTGTTGTTCAGACGGAGCCTCCTGTGTTGCACTTTGCCTCTGGTTCTGTCACTGGGCACTACTGAAAAGAGCGGGCTCTGTCCTCTTTGCATCCTCCTTTCAGGTCTTCACAAACATTAGCAAGATCCCCCCCTGTACCTTCTCTTCTCCAGGTTGAACAGTCCAAGCTCAACCTTTCCTCGTATGAGACATGCGCCAGTCTCTTTGCCATCTTACTGGCTCATTGTTGAACTCTTTCCAGTAGCTCTGCATCCTTCAGTGAGAGCAAGAAATATTATTAAAAGTCTTCTCATGTATCCAGTCATGACTGCATGTTAAAGTTCTTTAAATAAAACTGGAGATATTGCAAGAAATACCTATAGTGAGCTTTGCTTTTTGCCTCCACTGGTCAAGAAAGCTGAAACAATGTCATGTAATGAGCCACAAATATAACAGAATTCTTGTTCTCACCCCTCTGTGTCTACTGCCAGAGTAATTACACAGAGATTTTTTGAATTATTTTTAAAAATAATAACAGCACTATTATATTTATATAACTTTATTAAAAAAAAAAAACAGCACTAAGGATTTGTGTATGAACACAGAATTCTTCTTACATAGACTGAATTTCTGGTGTGAGCCAAGGTGAGTAAATGAAATCACAGTCCTGGGACTTAACAAAGAGCACTGCACCAGCTATTTAGCTTCCACAGATTTTTAGTCATTGAGCTCAAAGAGGCTGGACAATATCCACACAGAAATGAAAATGGAACATCACTTAGACTTATTGCTCGGAAGGTTTAGTTAGTTAAGTGAAATACAGATCATCAGTAATCACGATTAAAGTAAGAGGATAGCAGGCATCTACAATGGCAGAGATCACCTCTCATGTGCCCAGTGAAGTAGTAGGTAAACCAGAGTTACCATACTGTAACTAGTTGTTAAAGTGCACTACAGTTATACCTAGCTTTGCTTCACAGGAGGCACATGAAGGAGAAGGATGGGGAGGGAACGACAATTTCTCATTTCTGCAGCCATTTAATTTACAAGAGAATAAATGCTATTAAAATGATTCACAGGAAACCTTTTAAGAAAGCAGCATGAATAAATTCTTCAATTCATGTCAGATGAAAGACTCAAATATCACAGGCCTGGTAATAAGGTACAGTGCTTTCTACAGCTAAACAAAACCGCTGTTCCGAAGCTATCATAACAACCAAATTAATAAACACTGTGACTAGAAATTTAAGATAAGTAAATGAGGATTTAATGATAATCTTAGGTGTAACAGTAGAGCCAGTGGTGGCACCAAGTCAGTAAGACAGTAAAAAGTCAGTTTTAAAAGAGTAAGACTGGAGAACATCACAGGCATAGCCAAGTTCAGTTCCTGCAGTAAAAAAAAAAACTGTAAAGAAGGCTGAGCCTCGATGACTGTCTATAGGATTTCTATTCTGTGCGTCATCATAGAACTCACAGCACCTCTCAATAGCCCAGAGAAAAGTTATAGCCAAATGAAAAACATTCTCTATAAAGAAACATAGGAACTGAGCAGAAAGAACAGGTCTCAAAAATCTCTATTTCCTGATCTAAAAGGGACCCGTTTGGATTACTTCTTTATCCCAAACCTGATAGCTGGTTAAATCCTGAGCATAATCCTTGGTCACATCAGGCAGACACCAGATAAAGATCACTATCGATAATCATACCTTATCTATATTTACATTAGTTTCACTCTAGTGCTTCATAGAATCACGGAATGGTTTAGGTTGGAAGGGACCTTCAAAAGCCATCTAGTCCCAGCCTCCCTGCAATGAGCAGGGACATCTCCGAATAGATCAGGTTGCTCAGAACCACATCCAGCCTGCGCCAGCTCATGGGCTTTTTCTGCTCAACCCGCACACCCATCCTTTGCCAGGGGATGCTGGTTGAGCTTCTCCACTGTAAAGATCTTTCTGTCTGGCTCGTGATGTGATTGTACATGTCTTTCCCAGGGAAGTTCAGCAAATGAGAGACGCAATGTCTGTAATCACACAGATGTCTGGCTGGGCTCTGAAAAACATAGGTACAGACGGACAAAGGCAGGGCAGGCTGTCACCACACTGGGCTCCTGCTCAGCGCTCCCCATGGAAAAAAACACAGGACCCAAGAGCATGACTGTGACTGGGCAGGTCTCATGGGGTTTGCTGTCTCCCAGCACTCACAGACCTCCTGTTGTGTGTCTGAGAGAGCAATCTTGTGCTTAGAGCAATGACAGAAAATGCTGTAGTAACTGTCACACAGTCAGCAGGTCTTCTACCAGGATTGGTATTATTATTGCTATTTGATTAACAAGTGTTATTAAGGTATGCACAGAGTACACATTTTGCTGAGGTGCACAAAGGGAGCGTCATCAAATCTGAGTACAAATCCACCTCACCAGTTATGAAATAAATGGGCAGAATAGAAAGACAATACTCAGTACTTTCCAGCAGTGAACAGTGCTAGAATGACTGAGATAAAAAATACTCTGTACAGAGTTGGTTGCAAGCCCTGGGCTATCTCCCCTCAGGCCAGTGCTGTTGCTCAAGGGCATGGCATGGGTCCGGTGCCTGACACCTGAGGTCTCACAGAGGGCTTGGATCCCTCCAAAACAGCAGCTGGCCGCAGAAGTGGCTGTGCTGAGCCGAGCTTCCTGCTCACAGTCCAAGCTCAACCTTTCCTCGTATGAGACGTGCTCCAGTCTCTTTGCCATCTTACTGGCTCATTGTTGAACTCTTTCCAGTAGCTCTGCATCCTTCCTGTACTGCGGAGTGGAGACCTGGGCGCAGTTCTCTAGGAGGGGCAGGAATCCTGTTCCACAACACTGGACCCACTGCTCACCTCTAGGGTACATCTTGCCCCAGGAAGGTGTAGGATACGCAAAACACAGCACCAAGTGAGCTGTGGAGTCTTTCTCCACACACCCCAGACCCTGCACCCACCCTAGTGCTTCATCTAACGCCACACTATGACGTCACACCACGCAGGGGGAGAGTCTGTGAGGTTGGGCACTGTGGGCCCAGATGGAACTCACAGCGTTCTGCAGGCTGAGTGCCACTGGCAAGGCGGTCTCTTGGCCGTCTTCAGGAGCTCATCTGCCCGCACAGACAAACCCTTGCAGCTTGAAGAAGGCGTAATTTCTCACCAGGATGGTGCAGAGGAAGGCTCGTCCACGAGCACGGGCGGCTGCCTGGCCAGGGAGAACAGCTAGCCGCAGCAGGCAAAGTTGTTCGAAGGCTCGGAGCACCCAAGGGCAAAGGTCTGCCCACTGCACTGCTGCAGAAAGTGAGGGTGAGTTCAGCGCTGCCTTTCACCCCCCGTTTGCACCAAGCCTGCCCGACTTGGCCAGGCCCAACAGCGCTGCAGAACCAGCACCATCCTCCTGCCTGGGCTCACTGTGGCTATGTGACGATGAAGGAGCTGGGATACTGTAGTTCCTAGGGGGCACCCCAGGACTCGTGCCACCCTCCCTCCCCAGGGACGGCATATGTACCCTGCCTGCAAGGGGATCCTGCCCGGCCTTCCACTCCACACTCTCAGCTTCCCCTCTGGAGGCCACAGCCACAGCCCTTGCCTCACCCCCGGAGAGGGACTGCGTGGGAACAGCACCCACCTGCCTGCAGCTATCTGGCATGTACTCAAGGAGGATCCTGAGGCTTTTCTCTGATTTCTTTGCCCAGGGTTGCTCTGCAGTGTGGTAACGGCCATGGTCTTCCTGCAGAGGTGCCTTTGCTCAGGGATCGCCACCATGTGAGTACAGCACGTGCTCAGTAACAACACAGGGACACGGAGCGTGGAGGGCTCAGGGCGAGCATAGGGAGGCTGGTGGAGGAAAGTGGGGCTGGTGGTGCTCCCCGCCAGGAGCTTTCTGGCTACTTCAAGATTACTGCTCCTCAGCTTGTAAGAGAAAATCCCCCATGTGCAGGGCTCTGCCCTGGATCATTGCTGCCAGCCAAACTCCCTCTTTTCCAGGAAAGGGCTCATCCCCTTGACAAAGAAGAGGTTCTTCACAGTCCTCTTCTTGATGATCCTAGCGGCTTTTGGTGAGTATTTGCCTGCTGCCAGTGGAGGCATGGAGGCAGAGAAGGCGAGCTTCAGAGTGAGAGAGAGGTGCTGGTGGGGCCCTTCCAACCCCTCCATGTCTGAAGCTCAGGGAGCTTCTGAGATGTCCATGATGCAACCAGCCCCAGAGCCAACAGCTGAAACAGGTGCAGAGCCTATGATGCTCACCACAGATGGGAGGAGATACGGTGTGTAGCTGTGGGGCTCCAAGCACACCTGGAAGCTAGGAGTGTGCAGAGCCCTCCGGCATGGGGAGAGGGTCTCCACTGGTAGTACCAACCCTTCTCTGCATCCCTATGTCCTCAGCCAGCCTCTTGCCACCCTGCTGTGGGAGGAGACCGTGTGACTACAGGGATCATTAGAAACCCTGGTATAATACCTCTTTTGGTGATGTGAATTACAGCTGGTGCCTTCTGTGGGACCTCGACGGTGATGTGGATGCTGCAGACAGGAGGTCTGCCACAGGTCAGTGACTGCAGCTGTGGGACCGTAAAGTCCCACAGAGGAGCACTGGTGGAGGTGGGTGCATGGGTAAATAGCCCAGTCCCTCCAGTTCCAGGCAGTGACACAGAGAATCAGCCGCAGCTTCTGCCATGACTCTGGAAAGCCCTGGCAGTTCTGGGGACTCAGGAGAGCCTTTTCCTTTCAGGTACTGCTGGGGGAGTCTGCAGCTGACCTGTACTCCTTTCGGTAAGAGTCCTCCCCTCTCTCCTGACCTGCACGCAACACGTTTCATGGGGTAGCGGCAGATGAGCTCCTGCTATTTTCATTCACTTTCACAGTGCCCAGAGCGTGTATCTTGTGCTCCTGCCTGGGCCTTTTGCTAAACCTGGAGGGGAAGGAAGTATTCACAAGCCAGGGAAAGTGAAAAAAAAAGGCTGGAGCTTTGCTGCCTCTCTTCCTCCCAAGCTTGGAGGCTTTGGGAGGGGCTGGGCAACTCTCTGACAAGATCTGCTTTCCCGCTGACTGCAGAAATATGCTTGCTCTGTCGCGGAAAAAAATGGACAACATGCAACATCTGAGAGATGAACTGGCAAGCCTGGCTGCAGAGATCAACACTGCGAAGAAGGTGATCCTGCACTTTGGGAAAGAGGGCCGGGCCCTCCCTGGGCAGCTGGTGGGCTTTTCTTGCTCAGCCCACACACCCCATCCGTTGCCGGGGGATGCTGGTTGTGCTTCTCCACCGTAAAGACCCTTCTGGCCAGCTTGTGACGTGGTTGGTTGTGTTTTCCCCAGGAAGCTCAGCAACTGAGAGAAGGCATGTCTGCAATCACACAGATGTCTGGCTGGGCTGTGAAAAGCACAAGTACGGATGACCCCAGGAAGGCAGGGCTGTCATCGCACTGAGCTCCTGCTTAGCGCTCCCAAAAGGAGGCTGTGTGGCAGCCTCAGTTCTCTGAGGCACAGGGACATGGAACAAAAGCACGGGATGCAAGAGCGTGACTGTGACCGAGCAGGTCTCCTGGGGTTTGCTGTCTCCCAGCACTCACAGACCTCCTGTTGTGTGTCTGAGAGAGAAATGCTGTCACCGGGCATGGGGATCACCTTGTTTTCCTGGGGCACCCACAAAGGTGTGGTGCTGCATACGGAGGCTGGCAGACATCCTTAGAAATAGCCTGCAGCCACCAGGTCCTCAGAGCATGGAGCCTCCTGCACTCTCCTTTCTTCTCCCTCCAGGGGCTGCCATCAACCTGCAGAGATCATCCAGCAGCTCTGCATGGCTCTGCAGGATGTTTTGGTTCCTGCGTATTCCACCCATTCTGGATACCTTTGTGCAGGTAGAGTAGCAGAAACTGTCAGTGCTGCTTCTCTTGCCTCTTACAGAGTCGGTTGCAAGCCCTGGGCTATCTCCCCTCAGGCCAGTGGTGTTGCTCAAGGGCATGGCACGGGTCGGGTGCCTGACACCTGAGGTCTCACAGAGGGCTTGGATCCCTTCAAAACAGCAGCTGGCCGCAGAAGTGGCTGTGCTGAGCCGAGCTTCCTGCTCACCGTCCCAGGTCATGTCTGTGTATTTCCCCATTTCCCTGCCACAGCTTGACTGTCCCTCTCCTGACTGGACAGTGAAGGGTGGGGAGAGGCTTCAGAGCTGCTGTGCAAAAAGATAGGTTTCTTTAAAGGCCTGACTCAGGTGCAGGTATCAGATGTTTCCCGCTGACAAGCTGTTTTCCTTTTTCCCCGGTTAGGAAGATGAGTGGGCACTTCCATTCACTTCCCATTTATGGGGAAGTGGACAAATGCCATTCGTTTTGAGGTTTTCCCACAGGTGCAGTGCCGCCTATGGTTCTGGCTGCACAGGAGAGCAGTGGGCCACATCACACTCTCACTTTCATTCTCTTGTCCTCTGCTTTCAGCCTGATTCTTCCCCGGGATACTGCTGGCCTTTCCAAGGGTCTGAGAGTGAGGTGCTAATCCAGTTGCCTGCAAAAGTACGACCAACGGCCATCACCGTACAGCACACCTTAAAGACAGACTCTCCGCTGAGGACTATCAGCAGTGCCCCGCGAAATTTCATAGTCTATGTGAGTCTGCTGAGCCCTGGGGGGCTGCGACCCGGCTGTGTGGGAAAGCTGTAACAGGGACTTGCTGGTCTCTGCGCATCTGCTCAGATTCTGGTGCTCCCAAGCACTGCCATCCTCTGACGGGACATTTCAAGGGACATGTGGAATGGTGTCACCCCACGTCCTGCTCAGTGCATTTTCATAGAATCATAGAACAGTTAGGGTTGGAAAGGACCTTAAGACCATCTAGTTCCAACCCCCCTGCCATGGGCAGGGACACCTTACGCTAAGTCAGATCACCCAAGGCCTCGTCCAGCCTGGTCTTGAACACTGCCAGGGATGGAGCATTCACAACCTCCCTGGGCAACCTATTCCAGTGCCTCACCACCCTAACAGGAAAGAATTTCCTTCTTATATCCAACCTAAACTTCCCCTGTTTAAGTTTTAACCCATTATCCCTTGTCCTATCACTACAGTCTCTAATGAAGAGTCCCTCTCCAGCATCCCTATAGGCCCCCTTCAGATACTGGAAGGCTGCTAGGAGGTCTCCACGCAGCCTTCTCTTCTCCAGGCTGAACAGCCCCAACTTCCTCAGCCTGTCTTCACACGGGAGGTGCTCCAGTCCCCTGATCCTCCTCATGGCCCTCCTCTGGGGACACCAGAACTGCACACAATACTCCATGTGAGGTCTCACAAGAGCAGAGTAGAGGGGCAGGATCACCTCCTTCGACCTGCTGGTCACGCTCCTTTTGATGCAGCCCAGGTTACGGTTGGCTTTCTGGGCTGCAAGCGCACACTGCCGGCCCATGTTCATTTTCTCATCGACCAACACCCCCAAGTCCTTCTCCGCAGGGCTGCTCTGAATCTCTTCTCTGCCCAACCTGTAGCTGCGCCTGGGATTGCTCCGACCCAGGTGTAGGACCTTGCACTTGGCATGGTTAAACTTCATGAGGGTGGCATCAGCCCACCTCACAAGCAGGTCGAGGTCCCTCTGGATGGCATTCCTTCCCTCCAGGGTATCAACCGAACCACAGCTTGGTGTCATCGGCAAACTTGCTGAGGGCGCACTCAATCCCACTGTCCATGTCAGTGACAAAGATATTAAACAAGACCGGTCCCAACACCGATCCCTCAGGGACACCACTCGTTACTGGTCTCCAGCCAGACATTGAGCCATTGACCACAACTCTTTGTGTGCGGCCAGCCAGCCAGTTCTTTATCCACCCTGTGGTCCATCCATCAAATTGATGTCTCTCCAATTTAGAGACAAGGATGTCATGTGGACAGTGTCAAACGCTTTACACAAGTCCAGGTAGATGACATCAACTGTGTGTTCTGTAGCCCCATCATAGAAGGCCACCAAATTGGTCAGGCAGGATTTCCCCTTAGTGAAGCCATGCTGGCTGTCACCAAGCACCTTGTTGATTTTCATGTGCCTTAGCATGCCATCCCGGAGAATCTGCTCCAAGATTTTGCCAGGCACAGATGTGAGACTGACTGGTCTGTAATTCCCAGGGTCATCCATTTTCCCCTTCTTGAAAATGGGGGTTATATTTCCCTTTTTCTAGTCATTGGGAACTTCACCTGACTGCCATGACTGCCCAGCACCTCTAGGCTCTTGAGTAACACGCGACAGGGAGACTCAGTCCTACTGCATCCTGCATCAGACTGTGCTGGAGCTGCAGGAGCTGGAGGGAAACCACATTCCCAGATCTGGCATGAGCGTTTCCTTGTGGCTGTGTTGAGCCTGAACTGCTCCCATGTGCTTTATCTCCAAGGGACTGAATGAAGGAGGCGAAGATGAAACTCCGCTTGGGACATTCACCTACACTGCACAGGAAGAGGTTATCCAGACCTTCCCTTTGCAGGTACAGTGCAGCAGGATTTTCCCCAGGACCCATTTTCTGGGGCCATCAAGCCTCAGGTTTCCAGAGCCACCTGCCTTGCTCTCTGAGGCCTGGCTTCTGATCTGCAGGGGAGCAGGGGTCCTTTGGTGCGAGGGTGGGAGAGGGGAAGAAGGGAGAAGCTGCCACCTTAGCCAGTGCAGGAGCTGGTCCTGGAGCCAGACCTGGCTGGCAGAGGAAGACGGGCGGAGCCTGCTTTCGCTCCCAACACCCCAGGAGTGACCCTGGGTTCTTTGCAGGATGAGATGAGAGACTTCCATTTCTTGAAGCTTGTCGTACAGAGCAACTGGGGAAAACCGGGGTACACCTGTATTTATCGAGTGCAGGTGCACGGGAAGGTGGATGGAACCAGTGCCATCAGCCAGATTTCAGATGTGAGGAACTCACTTCAGTAAGAATTAAAGAGGAAAATGGAGAAAGGAGGAGAGTGATTGGCCGTTAGTCTGGGGCACAGCAATGTCATATCAGTGGCCTTCTCACAGCTGCCAAACACTGCCTTTTCGCAGGCCAAGGCCTTCCTCAAGCTTTTCACTTTCTCTCCACCACAGGAATGTTTCTTAAGTGACCAAAAGGAGACAACATTCCCATCGCCTTTTCTTGCCTAGTTCCTTGACAAAATCTTTTGTGGGTCATGATCATCAAAGCACGGGCCCATTCCATTCACACAGCACCTTGACTCTGGGGACAGGGTCCAGTGGGGCCCCGCACAGGGTGCAGCCAAATCTGCATGAGGTGATGGGGCCTGAGCAGCCTTACTGCCACAAAGGGGAGGATGTTGGCTCAGCTTCCCCATGCCCACGCATGCTCCCAGGCACAGCCCTCGCCTTCTGTCTTCTGCTCGACTTTAAGAAAGCCGCCATTTCCCCATCTTGAAACAACAAAACACAGTCAGCTTCTATCTGACTACTACACATGCAAATATCTTTGTCGTGGAGAGATTCGCCCAGTTCAGCTCCACGTTTTCAGCAGCAAGTCTGCAAGGCTGCGGACCTACACCCATTACTCTCAGACTGATGTAAACTCTGAAGCCTAAGTCCAACACTCCCACCATCGTTCCTGCTACTCTGCTAAGTCTAGGAGGCCTGAAAACCAATGGAATCTTCTCCTGACTCCAGTGGGTACAGCTCTGTGCGAAAAGCTTGGGTACTTAGCTCTCCGTCCATGTCGCTTTCCTCATTTGCCTTTGAATTTAATGTGGGACTAGGCAAGCTCAGGTGGACAGTTACATTGTCATACAGCTAATTCATACTTCAGGATAGGGGATTTTTTTTTTTTTTTGAGAATTCCACTGCCGCTGTTTTTTGTTGGTAAGGTAATGAGACTTCACTGGTACATGCTTCATTTTCCATGGAAGACTCTGTCAGGAATGCTGGGAAGAAAAGCATCTGGTCAGCTGTCTGCTGCAAGAGGATGGCAGTAAGCTGAGAATCAGATTGACTAAGGTTGGAGGTCCCTTCCGCACGACACCTGGTCCAGTGCCTCTGCTCAAGCATGGTCATACAGAATCATTTGCTCAGGACTGTATCCAGACAGCTTTTGAATAACTCCAAAGTTGAACAATTCGCAACCTCTCTGTGCAGCCTGTGCCTGTGCCAGGGCTCAGTCACTCTCACAATAAAATAGTTTCCTGACATTTTAGAGGGCACCTCCTGTGCTTCAGTTTGTGCTCATTGTCTCTGGTCCTGTCACTGGGCACCACTGAGAAGAGCCTGGCTTTGTCCTCTTTACACCGTCCATTTGGACATTTATGCACTTTATTAAGATCCTCGCGAGCCACCTGTTTTTTTCTAGTCTCTCTCATACTTTCTTTGTAGGAGAGATGATCCAGTCCCCTCCTCATTTTTGTGGTCCTCGTTGAACTCTCTCCGGTTCATCCATGCATCTCTTGTATTGAGGAGCCCAGAACTGGGCACAGGACTCCACATGTAGCTTTATCAGTGCTGAGTAGAAGTGAAGGGTCACCTCTCTCGGCCTGCTCGAAATCCTTTGTTTAATGCAGCCCAGGGTATCATTTCTTTTCTTTATGGCAAGGGCGCATTGCTGGCTCGTGGTCAAGCTGATGTCCACCGAGACCCCCAAGTCCTGCCAAGCTGCTTTCTAGGATATATTGGTGCCCGGGGCTTTTCCTGCTCAGGTACAGCATTGTGCAGTTCTTACTGTTGAACTTCATGATGCTCCTGTCAGCTCATTTCTCCAGCCTGCTGAGATCCATCTGGATGGCACCTGCTGGTGTATCTGCCACTCTTCTCAGTTTTGTGTGCCGTTACTGAGGGTACACTCACCCCTCCATCCAGACCATTCCTGAAGATGTTAAAACAGCACTGGACCCAGTATTGACTTCTGGGCTACACTGCTAATTACTGGCCTCCAAAATAGTCTTTGCATATGCAGGACAGGGAGGTGATTTCAGACAGCTAGCATGGTTTCACCAGGGGCATGTTGTGTGTGACCAACCTAGCTGCCTTCTATGATGTCCACTATTTCAGTATAAATTCAGTGTTATTTTCTAAATGACTGAATTGGTGCACACTGTAACAGATTCCGTGGTTTTGGTGCCACCAAAATAATTTTAGGCACAGCACAGCAATCTTGTGCTTAGAGCAATGACAGAAAATGCTGTAGTAACTATCACACGGTCAGCAGGTCTTCTACCAGGACTGGTATTACTGCTATTTGATTAACAAGTGTTATTAAGGTATGCAGAGAGTACACAAAGGGAGCGTCATCAAATCTGAGTACAAATCCACCTCATTAGTTATGAAATAAATGGGCAGAATAGAAAGACAATGCTCAGTACTTTGCAGCAGTGAACAGTGCCAGAATCATTGAAATAAAAAAAAAACATTGGTTTTACCTTAAAGGAAGATTAGATCATAAAAATTCCATGAAGTCTGGAATGCAGTTGAATAATAATTCTGATTTTAAGATGCACAGAATATATAGGAAAACTTAAAAGTATTTCAAAGGGACAGACAATAAAGAAAGTTTGACTCATCAGACATCATATACTGTAATGCAGGCTCTAGCAGAGAATTTGATGCAGCCAGTAAATCGGAGTCAAGATTCTGGACACTGTCTTCCTCCTGAACTCTTACCACTGGCTCCCTACCTCCAATCTTTATGGCTCAAATTCACCTTTCCACAAGTCAACTGTTTGTCGCACAGCTTGTCATGGGAAAACTTAGTATCACCTCCCTCCCTTATCATGTCTAGTTTAATGAGCAAAGACACTCTTCCCACTTTGAGAGGGGTGAATCCCATCCGACACCAGTAAACCTGGTGCCATGTAAGCCATCCCATTATCAAAATACTCCAAACTGTGGAGGTGTCACCAGCCATGGAGCCATGTACCAAAGGACCGAGTCCACCTGGTCCATCTAATGTCACTGCCCACAGCTGGAGAGGATAAAATAACTTGTATCCCAGATCCCCCTTACCCACTGTCCCTTTTGATCACGCTTGGGACTACGGGTCGCAGCGTAATCACCACCCCCATAGAAGACCACTAACAGCCAGCAGCCCGAGGGCCATACCAGGCTGGCAGTTTCCTGACAATGTCCTTAACCTGGGCCCCAGGGAGGCAGCAGACTTCTGCATGAGAGGGGTCTGCCTAGCATAGTGGCCGCGCTGTTCCCCTCAGAAGAGAATCACCTACAACTACAACCCATCTTTTCTGCCTCACAGAGGTGATCGTAATATGGGGATTATGCTTTTCTGACCCTGCCACCACTTCTGCAGCAGATGGACTTCTGACCATCCACTGACTGGCCTTTCAGTTCCTGAGCCTCATATTGCTGAGGTTGTACATGTGAGTTACATCGTGTCAGCAACTCAGGGGTCCTAGTGATCATTGCACTTTGTGTGGAGATGGAATCCCTTGTGATCATTGTGCTATGTGCAAAGGGTATGCTAAGTGTCCCTGTCAATACCACAGTGAGGAGGAAGAAGAAATAAGGGAATAATTCCCCTGGGTCAACCGCAATATTGTGCAAAGGAATGTTTTGTTCATTGTTTAAACTGCATGAATGTTCTTAGAAAACAGGGGGGTAGGTAACTTAGAGATATGTCCTGTTACAGAACGTTGTGAAATCTGTGCACTGAACAAATAAACACATAAGGAGTGGAATTTATGGGGGCTAAGATGGTGGTCAGACTTGTGACAGACATAGTATTTCTTCACCTGGAGACAAGACCCCAGCAACAGGTGGAGAAGCCCGGGAAAAGAAGACAACAGGATTGGCTGAAGAAGCCCGGGAAAAGAAAACAACAGGACTGGCTGAAACCGAAGAAGCCCGGGAAAAGAAGACAACAGGATTGGCTGAAACCCAAGAAGCCCGTGAAACCAAAAAGTATAAGAGACTATCCCCAGAAGTTCCCCTTGTGCGTCTTGGGCGGAGCGAAGACTCCCCGGCACACCCAGTGCTGCTTGCTTATTGTCTCTCGATATTAATGATAATAAAAATCATTGGCTAGATGATTCCTACTACTTCTTTTAGGTCTGCCCCCAGGCTGAGCAGATCGTCCACACGGTCACATGTGACACAGGCTCTGCCCTGGATCATTGCTGCCAGCCAAGCTCCCTCTTTTCCAGGAAAGGGCTCATCACCTTGACAAGGAAGAGGCTCTTCACAGTCCTTTTCTTGATGATCCTAGCGGCTTTGGGTGAGTATTTGCCTGGTGCCAGTGGAGGCATGGAGGCAGAGAATGTGAGCTTCCTTCTGAATTTCTTCCTCCTGAACTCTTACCACTGGCTCCCTGCCTCCAATCTTTATGGCTCAAATTTACCTTTTCACGAGCCCCTTTTGAAATTCTTAGAAACATGACATTCAGTGTCTTAATGATCAAGTAAATAAAACTCCGTAATAGGTGTTTTCTGAGTAGAAATTAAAAATGTCAAGCAACTTGTTGAATATTTCCAAACACAAATAGTGTTTCCTTCTTCCTCACCAAGATTCTTCTCATTTTGCTGTTTGGCTGGATCCCAGGTGTCTGAACATCTACCACAAAAATAAAAGCTCCATGGAGTTTTACACCATGTTAAGTATATGAGGCCAAACGCAAACAAGTTACAGAGGCTATTCTGATATGTAGCCAAAAGAGGTGAAAAGGTGTAGCTATTTTCAGGCACATCTGGAACATGAGCAGATCCTTGGTGTTCACAGTGAATACGCGGGAGAGATCTATTGACAGGAAAAAAGAATGTACAAAGAATAAACTTGATAATAGAGATTCAGAAGTTGCATTATCATCATCAAAATTGCCTCCTTTGGGACAAACTCCTCAACAACTAGGTGTGCATCCTCTACATAAACAAAACTTATCCTCTATATAAACATGAAAAAAAAAAAAAGAGGCTGTTGCCTCAGGTCTGTAGACTGGAAATCGAGTACAGCAGCAAAGACATGGTGCAAGTTGTCCACCAATTTTGCATATCAAAACAGCTGTAGATACCATAACACCCAGTATATCTTAATCTTGGCCAAAGAAGTCTTCTTGTAGCTAGGTGACATCTCTGAATTATAGAGATACTCAAAAGCTAATTAAAAATTGTTTGCCAAATACTGTTTTTATCAGAAAAAAATGTCATGACTTTTTAATTACAAATTGTTTCCAGAGACATTTTTTTTAAATTACCAACTCAGAATACAATACCTGAAGAGTATGAAAGTTTAAACTACTGTTTTCTAAAACAAGAAATTTTACTATATTTTTAAGGTTTCATATACTTTCTTTTT